CTTATGATGTTCATAGGATATGGTCTTGAAAATCTGGTTTTATTGTCAACCCCGGGGCCCTGGATGTATGGCTTAGTCCATATCTTGACAGTGTTAATTATTGTTATTGATTGGCTTTTCTTGGCTGCTATATTATTTATAATTTTGTTATGTGGTTTTTATCTTGTTTTTAAATATTTTATCTGACCATAGTCATGCATTTGAGATGGGCAGCCCTACAAGTTGAAATGAATTGAAATAAAGAATAAGGATGGCTAATTTCAAAATCTATTTCCACAAAGTTCAAGAACTGAAGATGTAGCTCATAGTCAGGTGTCTCTGGGACAGGTGACTGGGAGGCAAATATTAAAGCTTGTATAATAACTTTGTCACACAAATGGCATGACTTATGTATTTGCAATTGCACAATGGTGTTATTTTTTAATAATTTTATTAAAAGCTTTAATTACAATAGTGAAAAATAATTCAAACTAAAAAGAAAAAAGAATAAAAGTTGGAAGAAAATAATAAAAGGTGTTATTTGTGTAATGATAACACTGCGCACATATCTTTTTGGTGTCACTGAGGTTTGCTGAGGATGCCACTGATTCATATTCAGATTTTCTGCATATATTCACACATCATATATATTTTCTGCAAACACCTCCCCTCCCACCTCATAATTTACAACAGCATGATAAGACTGGATTAAATAGCATGGGAGTGAAGGTGCTAATTATAAATTAGAGACCATTAAAATAAACTTCAGTAATATTAATAAGCCTGCAAAACATATTTGTCTCACAATCAACATAAAGAATACTTTATGCCAGGAACAGAATGTATTTCTGAGTTTACAGATCTTTTCCTCTAGCTGCAATTATCAATAGCATTAGTTCATTCTGCTGAATAAACATTTGGGCTAAGCAAGTTCTCTCTTAATGATGTTTAATAATTTTCAATATTCTGCAAGCTAAGTAATTGGTAACATCTCCATTTCCATAATCTTTCACTGCCTTCTACAGATATAAACCTATAGATATAAACCTCAACACAGCTTCCAGGCACTAATAGGCTAGCCACTGCAAAAGTCTTTGTAACAGAAGAATACAACTCATATTTTTTTCTGGCATAGCAAGCTGAAGCAGGTTATGTGGCAACTTAAAAATTGATAGGTCAACCTATACACGTTTTCATCCAGAGAGCGATTTCATTCTTACCCTTTTCAGAGAATCAATAACCTGATTCACCTACAGAATTTATGATGTGGCGTATCGGTTCACGCAGCAATAGTCTCCATGGGAGTAATCTATTGGTTGGGGTTTGTTCATTCTATAGTGACATTATATCATCATGTCATGAAAGCACCATTCTAATAAAAAGTGGATAGTAGATTTCAAATAAAAAACCTGATCAACACAGGGTAACAAACTCACTCTTTCACCTTTATGATCTTGTTAAGGCATCAAGACTATTAGTTATCATGACTTCAATTAATAACCATCAATGGCCTAAGTCCAATTAGTAGAGCTGAATGTCAGACTATATTATCTGGGGTAGCCTTTCCAATACGATTTTCTTCCAGATATGTGGACTTCAACATTCTCAAAAATGTTCATGCTGGTAGAAGAATACAGAAAACTGATGTCCACCCACCTGGAGAATGCCGTGTTGACAAAGACTAATCTTCAAGAAGATAACCTAGTTCTTTAACATTGTATGTCAGAAAAACTAATCTTTCAAGTAATATGAGGTAATAATATCCATGAAAACTATTTCTTGTTTTTAAAAAGACGGCTATGACATGTTTGACATTTGAAATATACTGTGCCTGACAAATATTAAAGAAAGCCAAACGTTTCTTCCAATAGAAGTCAAGAGCAAGGAAATCTTTTCCTGACAGGAATTTCTTTCCTAAATGGGGGGAGGAGGTAGGAATGAAGAGTGAGGGAAACAGAAAAAGATATGGCCTCTCAGAGAGATAGAGAAGGGAATCCAAGAGATCAAGACTTTCATCAGTTGAATGAAAAATTTACCTGGAATTCAAAATATCAAAAAACTAAAAGATCAAAAAACTCAGGCAAAACAAAAAAACTTTAATATTCTGTTCCTACAATCAGTTCCAATTATCTTCAACTCAGCAAATGAACCAGAATGAAGTCTGCAGAAATAGTCACTGCACAGGAAAGATTACTCAACAGACTGGGAATTGGAGAGATGTGAAAACACTCTGCTATTAATAATGGGAAAGGTCACAGCTTATAGCAAAAGCAGTCCAAAACCTTTGTTGACTGAGCCAGAGCGACCAAGAGCAGAACCTCCCATCAGTATGCACAATACTGGATATTAGGTAAGTTATTTTGACTCATAAGGCTACTTACAAGTGCCTTCTTCTTCCTTCACCAGGAGCCAACACAGAACAATAACAATCTGTCACCATTTTGACATACAAAATCAAATGCATGAGACAGTTGCCTCATTCTGCTTAATCACAGAATAAGTGGCAAAAGTTGCCTAAAGTAGGCTTGGAAGTATCATCTTCCAGGCTTACATCACATCTAGGCTCTTCAGAGGTTCTCAGAAACAACTTTTTCAAGACAAGAAATAGCTGTTCTACTGGCAACAGATAATTATTCTGTTGTCACATGGCCAATGCAGGGTTGACTTTAAATTCCTTTCTTGTTTGTTCATTCTTACAATGGTTGATTGGCTGTTACTTGTTGAAGTTCACAATATAAAGAAATATTGTTCCATGCCCATCAGCCTCAAGAGCTGAAGCAGCAGATTGGCCTTCTGCCCTCTTTGCCCTGCCAAGTCAGACGGGAGCTCATGTATCTTGGCACGTGTCCCCTAGTATTCAGGATATGTTGCCTTGAGGAAATTAAGGGAGTGACAGTTCCATATGGGGGTCAAGCATGTTTTATAACGAATATTTAATATTTATAGAGCAATTTACAAAGGTTTCCTTCTATAAGTTAACCTCTACTTCATGGATACTTCCATGTAGTTGTATTGGCAATAACACAGCCGTGGTTTGTCACTGCCTTCTTCTGGAATGTTGCAGGGTTCTCCTATCCAAATACTAACCAGGCCCAAATCTGCTTAGCTTTTCAAAAGTTCAATTGTTGGCTTTTAGAAAATGAGTTACAGTACAATATATTTCAATGCAGGGGGAGGGTGGGATATATATCTTGGAACACAAAAACAAAATATAAGTTTTGCTGTAAGTAGCCTCCTACCCCAATAATTATTGGTCTCATTGGAGGCAAAAGAGTCAGTCATCCCCCATAAGAGCTCTGGCTGACTCAAAGATATTGCTTTATTTTAAGATCTTGTGTTATAAAAATTGAGAATAAACAAACACAGTCCTCTAGTCTTTCTGTGCATCTGTCTAAATTGGTGACAATTATGCCAAGAAGTTAGTGCTAGAGATCCCCATTCATGCATATGGAACCTTTTAAGATCACCATCCATGCCTCCATGGACTACTATTGACCCATCCAAACAGAATAATGTTTTCTACACAAAACTTTCATAATCTCAAGCCATGTATCAATGAATTCAAAATACAGCAAAAATTAAAGCAAGAAAATATGTACAGTATACAGCCAATATGAATGAGTGAAATTATTACACAGTTGGATATGCAAGAGCATTTGAAAGCAAGAAGCCATTTTCCTCATTCAAATGCATGTCTAAGCATGTATCTGTATCAAGTGGGCACCATCATTATTTCTGATTGCTGTTTTTTATATTGCAAAATTTGAATACCTATTTTTCAGAGGCTCCAAAAACCCAGTAGTGCCAGCTGCAAAATACAGTCAGTGGTCAACTGGATATATGTCTGTAACTTGAATCACTTGAAAATGAAAAGGGGGTGGAGAGAAAAGTTGCAAAAACCAAGACCTTAAAATATTAGATGTCTTCCTTGTGCATGGGACTCTCCTCCACTTCTCCAATAGGTTTTTAATTTAAAAAGAATCTATGGCAGGTTTACAAAAAGTTAGTTCTTTGAAGCACAACATGCTTTAAAACCAAATCTTGACATATTGCAGATATGTAATACACTGCAAACCCATTCTAGATTTACAGTTCAAAGAGGCTTCTCAGTAACAGAATCTTAAATAGGAGATCAATTGTTACTTTTTTCATATATATGTATATGTTCCCTTTATTTTTTTGACCAGTATAGTATATAGATAATAATCATGGTCCTAAGCTCTAATGATATCAGGAAGAGCTTTGCTAAGCAGTTTGGATATGCATTCGATCCTATTTAACATTTATATTTCATTACAGGAGTGAAGGGGGTAGAGAAGGGGGATTCAGACTGCAGAGCAGGAAAAAGTACATTGTCTTTGCTTTAAAAGCTATAAAGGATAAAATGTAAAAAGCTGGATTCAGATCCAGTTCCACTTTATATGCCAAAGCAAACATTCAATAATAAGAAAAGGGCCCACAGCCTGCAGTCAATCTACAGTGGTAGGCTGATTTTATGAGTCCAACTTTTAGGTGAGACTTATTGTAAGTGTGATATGCAATTCAACCCTTAGTACAGTTTTTAGACAGAAGCTAGTCTTAGCGTTCAGGATGATGCTTTTTCTCAGTACTTGAAACATGTTAGTTTTGCAGAACACAGCTCAATTTTTCAAAAGCATCTAGTACAGTACAAGGAGCTTTCTCAACAATATGAATATATCCCTGGGAAACTGGTATCTCGACCTTTAAAAAGGGGGGGGGGAGGGAGTTTATAACCACGATGTAAGGCTTTGTATTCCAGTTAGGCCTTTTATCACAACAGTATCTACCGATCGAGGACAGGTTGAATTCAAAGGAACAGACCTGATTTCTTCGCCTGCAGACCTGCTCTCCCTTCTTGAGGTCTCCCAGCGAGCGGGGGTGCCAGGGGGAAATCGCACCCCGATTGTACATGATGCCTGCTGGCTTCTTAGCTAACGCTAAGTTCCACTAGGAGATGCACTTTCTTGGGGATTTTTACGCGTGTATTTTCTTCTTCTTACCTTCAACTGGAAGGGCTGAATCTCATTCAAACTTTGATTCCTGAGCTTCTTCGTAAGGATCTTGAGCATGGTACAAATCCAAGGAGTCAGGGAAGAGTTAAGGTCGTGCTCGCATCTAAAGGGCGTGCAGTCGCACTGAGCAACTGCAGGTACACCCAACTTGTAGCTCGAGTGGCATATGATCTACCGAGAAATACGATCTTGCGCCTTTCTTCTTTTTGCACCCCTATAACATCCCGGATCTGGTTGCTAACGCACGACTTCCTCCCCCGTCTGCTCCGTTGAAACAACTAATACGGGTTTTTTTTGTTTGGTTTTTTTTAGAGGGCGAATGTCTTGCTTCTCCAAACTGCAGCAAAGGACGCCAATGCAGAAACCCCGAGAGCACCTAGCAGGGTTTCTATTCCAAGGGGCAGGAAGACATTAGATGCCGAAAGAGTTAAACAGGAGATGAGAAAGCTTTCAAAACTAAGGCCCGGAGCTCTGCTCATGCTCGTGATCTAATATGTCTTTTCTCTTCCTTTCCTGCACATTGCCGGTCACTCTCGCGCGCTCTTCCTCCCGTCTCCTTTCCCTTTCCTTTTTCCACGCTCTCCTCGCTCGCTCGCGCGCGCGCGCGCCGCCGCCTTTCTCTCTCTCTCTCTCCCCTCGGCGTCCTTGCTATATGAAACTTGTAAAGAACAGGATCCGAAGACCGGGCGCCGCCGATTGGACAGCCAGGGCGGACTGTGTCAATTTCAGGGGCCGGGTTTCCATTTAAAGGGAAACCAAAAGAAGAACAGGTATCGCCGTTTCCTCTCTCCCCACAAGTAGGTTGCTGCCGATCTGGAGGCGAAGACCCGGGTTGTCCTGCCTCTCCTCCGCTTTGAAAGCGTCCCCCCCCCCCACTTGCAAGTTAAGAGGTTGGCAGCGCAAGAACCAACCAGCGGTGCAGAATTGAATCCTTACAAGGTTTCCTTCTTCCTTCTGTACAGTCTCGGGTTTCTCCCTTACGGGTCTCGCTCTGTAACAAATGTGGTGCATCTTTTAGCACTTTTTTAAAAAAAAATAAAAATAAATAAAAGACGTTAATCACCACCCTCTTTGCTTTATATCCTCCAATTGAGGACTGAAACCCCCCTCACTTCTCATTACTCCTTTGTATTAATTCATAATAATATTGGGATATTTAAAAAGGAAAGGATATTATCGTATTCTAGAAAGACAGAGAATTTATAGCTATATGCACCTTAATAATAATAATAATAATAATAATAATAATAATAATAATAATAATAATAATAATAGTAATAATAGTAATAATAGTAATAATAGTAATAGTAGTAGTAGTAGTAGTAGTAATTATTATAACAACAACAATAATAATAATAAAGTTGGAAGGGACCTTCGAGGTCATCTAGTCCAACCCCCTGCTCAGGCAGGAAATCCTATAGCATTTCAGACAAATGGCCATCCAGTCTCTTCTTTAAAAACTTCCAGTGTTGTTGCATTCACAACTTCTGGAGGCAGGTTGTTCCACTGATTAATTGTTCTAACTGTCAGGAAGTTTCTCCTTAGTTCTAGGTTGCTTCTCTCTTTGGTTAGTTTCCACCCGTTGCTTCTTGTCCTGCCTTCAGGCGCTTTGGAGAATAGCTGGACTCCCTCTTCTTTGTGGCAGCCCCTGAGATATTGGAACACTGCTACCATGTCCCCCCTCGTCCTTCTCTTCATTAAATTAGACATACCCAATTCCAGCAACTGTTCCTTATATGTTTTTGTTGGACTATAATTCCCAGAAATCCTAGTTATTATGGTTCAGCTCACAGTCATCCAGATGTTCTGACTTTTATCCGCCTAATGAATCCTTCCGAAGGAGTGGGCAGATGTAGATTTCTGATGGTAGATTTCTGCTGGTATTAAACATATTCATAGGCTGTAAGCTGTTCCGAGTAAAGCTGCCTTTCGCAATTGACTGATGGTGAATTTATCAATGCCGTTCAAGTTCTACTGGTGCTCCAATTGTTTTGGGATTGCACTCAAAGCTCCTATTACTATTGGTATTACGTTTGTTTTCTTTTGCCATAGTCATTCTATTTCTATTTGTATTTTGTTATCCTCTCCAGTTCTTTCTCTTTTATTCTGCTGTCTCCAAGTACTGTCATGTGGCAGGTGCCTGTATGTTTGAATTTTAAAGTTCCAGAGCACTTCATCTTCTTCATTGTCAGTTATTTTCTGTATTTTATGATCCCACCAGTTCACCAGTTCTTGCTTGCAGACAAATGGTATTTCTTGCAGATTTTCCAATGCTCTGTTGTTGACACTTTGTCATGCCAATTGTTTGTAACCGGTTTGCGATCTTCTTGCAACAGGTAACTAATCCACTTCTTCAGTTTCTTTTCAGAGCTGGCACTTGCTGTTTGTTGCTGTTTTCGCAATTATGGCATTGCATGCATTTGTTCTTAGTGGCTTGGTATTGTGCAGCCAAAATTAGTCTCTGTATCTCTTTCTTCAACTTTCCTGCTTTTAGCCATTGCTAGGTCTTGTTATTATCTGTTTTGCGTACTATTTATATGTAATGGCCATGCAATACTTTGTCTTCCCATGTCTCTTTTCAATTCTTCATTTGGTCTTTCTTGTAAGCCAGTTTGATCTCTCTAGTAGTCAAATAAATTGTCCTGGTATACTAGCTTCAGTGCCTCTTCTTCACTGTCCTTCAGGTATACTTCCAGTACCTTTTTTTCTTCTTCAACCATCTGATGTATTTGCAACTTTCCACACAAATTGATTTTCCTTGGTAAGTAGAGTCTGTCAATGTTGCTATGAGGATGAAGGGTGTGATTGTCATTATTTTCCTGGTCTTCCTATCCAGGCATTTTAGTTCTGCTTAAGTCCAGTCTACTATTCCAGCTGTGTATCTAATGATTGGAATTGCCCAGATGGTATTTCCTCCACTGGGTTTGGACTTTAAGATCTTCACTCTCTTTTTCTTGGCTCCAGTGTGCTTGATGTCGTCAGCTTGAAGGATGCCCAGATATCTGTAGTAGTCATCTTCATCCAGACTCTTGATGTTATTTCCACAAGACATCTTGATTCCTTCAGTTTTCACTATTTTCCCCTTGTTGAGCGTGGCACATTTGTTCAGTCCAAACGTCATTGTAATATCTTGGCTGTATATAGACAGTATTGAGCAGCAATTGTATTTCAGATAATAGTGTTTTTCCACACACAGTTGTTTTCAACTAGAAGTTGTGGGACTGCATCAGCTATCACACTTTCACTTTTAAAAAGAAAAGTAATATGGAGTAAAGGAAGGAATTATCCTTTTCCTACATAAAATACCCTGATTAGTTGATTGTGTGCCATCAAACTGGTATTGATTCCTAGTCACTATATACCTTTTTCGTCCATGATTCTTAACTTGATCCTTCCAGCTGTGCATCCATTGCCACTGTACTTCAGACCATTCACTTTACTGCTAGTTATCCTAATCTTTTCTTTTCTGCTACCTTTTCCAGCATTAGAGCTTTCCCCAAAGAGCTAGGTCTTTGCATAATGCGTCCAAAGTAGAATCGTTTGAACCTGATATTTGTTCCTCCACAACCCTGGATTGATTTATTCAATGATCCAATGTTTGTTTTCTCAACTGCTCTGTTATTCTAAGGAGTCTTCTCCAATACCGATCTTCGAAAATGTCAATACTCTTTCCATCCTGATTTTTCAAAGTCCACCTTTAATTTTCATAGGGAATACACTACACTATCCTGATCTTTACGGATATAGCATCTGATCATTTTTTCCAATGCCTTCATGGCTGCTATACTGAGTGTAAGTCTGCAGCATATTTCTTGGTTACTTGTTTTTTTACTATTGATAGTTGAGCCTAAAAGGCACAAACCATCCAATACTTCAGTATATTCATTGTCAATTATAAGGCTTGTGCTTGTACTTGTTGTCTTTCATGTGACTACGCTTAATTTGAGTCCCATTTTTTTCACTGTGCACTTTTATTACTAGTGCTTGCAGATCCTGTGATTTTTGGTTATCAGGATACTCTCTTCAACATAGCTCAGGCTGTTGATATTTCTTTCTCCAATTTTAAAACCACACTCATCTTCTTCCAATCCACCTTCCCTTAATATATATTCAGCATATAGATTGGATAAATAAGGGGAGAGTATACAGCCTTGTCTCATCCTTATTGCCATAATTCTTTCTATATTCCTACTCTACTCACAGTGATGCTTAGTCATTCAGTAAGCACCATCATTAGATAGGCCTGTTATCATCCTGTAGCCCTCATGTAGGCATGGAAGAATATGTACTGCACTCACTCATTCATCTACCCTCTCAGTCTTGGTCATAGCCACTATAGAGCAATAGGGGAGAGTCTTCCTTTACTTAAGAGAGACTCCACTCATATTTTTACATCTGAATAAAACCAAAGCAGTGGTATAAATTCACCCAGCTTGGTGGACATATGAAAAAAGCAAAAAAGAAAAGAAAAATAGAAAGAGAGATAGAGGGGGGGGAAGAGAGGGAGAGAGAGAATTCACATGCATACAACTAAAGCTAGAACATAATAAAATTATGTTGTAACCATGGAGCAAGAGTTTATTTTCAATTGCCAGATAAAGCCACTTGAGTTAGATAATTCTAAATTCTTAATCTCAGAGAATGGAGGGGGTAAGTTAATAATACGTACAATACTTCACTTATTTCAACACACAGCATATCTTTTCCCACAGTGCCTGGAAGCTCTTCAGTCTTGTCCTGATGTCGCCAACTCGTTCTTCTTTAAAATGTTTATGGAAAATGTTTATTTTCCAATCCTTTCTGTCTGGAAATGGTTAACCATTTTATGATATGGTTATTTGCCAGGGACTTTTTTTCACATATGTTGCCATACAACTTTTCGGTAAGAATATAAACATTTTTTAGAAGCTCTTCACTTTCCAGTCGATGTAAACCATCATCTGAAGTGAAATGTATTTGAACATAATCATGTGAGACAAGTGCAGCCTGAGAAACTTCTAAACAGTCACCCCAGGATATCTTTCTAAAAATAAAGCTTTTTTGTTGCTGATGTTCTTGTGTGCAATAAATTCAAAAGTCAGTACTACTCTAAAAATGTTTCTGTCCTCGGTCACCTCCTGTCACATGACCTGTAAGTCACTAACTGTGGAGAAAAAAAACAAGAGCTTTACTCTTTTGCAATAAGATTGCAAGCTGATTAGGGGGAAATCTGTCTTTTTCTATGGCTCTCCAGTTGCAGTGGTTCCCATTTTAATCCCATTACCCCATCCTACAAAACCATATTGGGACT